TTTTTTTCCCCCAGTCCAACCTGATGGTAATCATTCTAGTCCATAGAGACTGGGTATTTTGAATACTGTTTTTGTCTTAGCTACTTACGTTTCCCTGTAGTGTACTACTGTTACTGTGACACTATGTCTTGTTTTGGTTTCTCATTTCTCTTCCTTCCACAAAGGCCTTGAGCTCTATTCAGCAGCTAAAATAATAGGCTCATGGAACACTTCAAGAAATAAATTATTACCCTTGAATGGAAGGGTAACAGTTTTTGAAATAATCACTTTGGTAGTAGTTAGAGATTCTTCAAGATATATTTACATTTCTTTTCCTTCTCTAAGATTAACCAAAAACCCGTAAATATAAAACATTATATATAAGAATACCAATAGCTTTTTAATGTTATACAATAATTATAATTTTATGTACATATTTACTATTTATGATTTGTATTTGGAAGCTTATACATAGTATATAGTTTAAAGCAGAACATAATTAATGCAGTGTTACAATATATAGGCATGAAAGTTTTGAAAAGATGTGTCCCTGTCAGCAATAAGCAGTTCATGTTTGGGAATCTTAAGACTTTGAAATGTCTAGGCTTCCAGTTACCTCCTTATCAATTAATTAGAACAAGCCCGTAGATTTTTTTTTTTTGGGTACATTATTATAAAGTCAGTTGAAAAGTTGATCCTGCCTAATCTCGAGCAGAAATAATTTTCAAAATCAACTGAAACTAATGTTTTCATTTTTACTTCTGAAATCTATCGGTCTTTTCATTTATATGTTTTGTTTCTTTTCCTCAGATTCTTCTGCCTGGTTTTCCTACCTCTACCTCCTCCTCTATAATCCATTCTGTTTATAAGATATATTAATTAAAGCATAATTTTGATTCCAGATTTGCTCATAGCCTTCTTCATTGGATTCAAATTCTCTTCAATATAAATTCTTTGCTACTTTGTTTTTTATTTAGGTCCTCTAGGATTAGGTTCTCAGTTCAAGTTTTCGGACCACCGTTTTGTACTACAATCTTATAGGACACTACATTATATACAGCCCAACACAGCTACTCTCTCATTCTAGTACAGAGCTTCTGTGCATCTTCAACTGCTTGCCATAGTTTCTCTGTTTTCTCTGCTTGGAATATTCTCCCCTGCTTTTGTGTTTCAAAATTTTCCTTAACCTCCAGCCTAAATGTTGTTCATTCCTTCAATTTTTCTGAGTAGTTTCAACCAGAGATGATTCTCCCTCTTCCAAATTCCTTACCTTTAGCTCTTTTGTGATGCAAACTACATCTAAAACTTAAGGAAAGAATGAAAATACTGTGTGTGAAAGTGCCTACATTCCCTGCATATGATGTAAAGAGAAGCAAACTTTTTTTTAGAAAAAAAGAATCAATGTAGATTAATATGACATAACATAATAGGGTGGAAATGGAGTCCGTTTTTATCAAGAGATATTTGATAAGTTTTAATAGAACAAAGCAATATGTATAGTCTTTTAAAGTATCTTACAATTATATTTGTTTTATGCCCCTAAATATTTTCCCATTGCTTTCAGAAACAAAACCTGATCGTGTTTATGGCATTTTAAGCTCACAAAAAAGATTATTAGTTTAGCTTCAGTGATAAAAATAGCCTTCTAGTCATAGAATGCATGATGATGGAACAGAGTAGGATTCAGTTTTGTTATCCAAGCTGTGGACCTGATTCCAGATCTAGTAAAAACTTGAACAGAAGAAAAGTTGATTTGTAAAATGTGATATTAAACAATCGAGTTTTTTAATTTGTCAAAAGTATATGTGCAACATTATATTATAAAATGAATTCATAATATTGGATACTAATTATATATTAATAATTTGTTTCTAGAACCTACCTTCTGGATCATCACGTGTTGGAGCCATTAAACTTACCTACATTTCAAAGGTAGTCTTTATTATACATTGTCTTCTATTCATGTGTGAATTAAAATCCCTGGGAATGAGAGTATGAATAAAAGCAGCAGTTTCCTTTCTGTGTCCTTTAACAGTGATGTTCAGATTGCTGTCATGCTGAAACAGTACCTGGTTACTATGTTTAGGAAATTCTTTAAATCGATACGATTATGAAGAATATGCTTTTAACTTACAGGATGTGGCAAATTGCAAAAGTTAACATTAACTTTTTTTTTTTTTGAGACAGATTCTCACTCCGTCACCAGGCATGAGGCTGGAGTGCAGTGGCGCGACCTCGGCTCACTGCATACCTCCGCCTCCCAGGTTCAAGCAATTCTCCTGCCTCAGCCTACCGAGTAGCTGGGACTACAGGCTCGCGCCATAACGCCCAGCTAATTTTTTTGTATTTTTATTGGAGACAGGGTTTCACCATGTTGGCCAGGATGGTCTCCATCTCTTGACCTCGTGATCCTCCCGCCTCAGCCTCCCAAAGTGCTGGTATAACATTAACTTTTATGATCAGATATATGAACATCAGAAAGGGAGAAATCAGTGAAACAATTAAGTTCTGTCTTGAGAAGGTCTGGAGATTTTTCTAAGTCTGTATTATGTTTAGTTAGACTGTTTCCAACTTTTAAATCCCATTGCCTTTGATACTTTGTTTCTTAATGTTTTATTTTGAGGAAAATATGGACCATTTTTTATTTTGAAAGGTTGGTTTCTTCTTCCTCTTTTCACTTTGTGTCTTTTAATTTCTGTTTTCTCTTTGTTTTTCTGGTAGTTTTACAATGCTATTTTTAAAAAAATTTTTTAAAATGTTGATTTTATATTCATCAGGTACCTTTTTTTCTTATTTTCTTCTATTAATATTTAGGGAACTAAGAAATGCTGAGGTGCTAGCTGTGTGTGTGTGTGTGTGTGTGTGTGTGTGTGTGTGTGTGTGTTACATAAAAGCAATAAAAGTTTGTTGATGACTTAAAATATGAGATTCAAAAGGTAACAATACAGTATTATTAAATAATATGGGTACTATTATGCATATACTGAGATCTGTTGGCATAGGTAGATCACTTCAATGGAAGACCAATTTACAAATGTGCTTCTGTTTAAAAGACAGATGTTATATAAATAAAGTACTTTATATCGGTATTACAATAGAGGTATTCATTCTCATTGACCAAAAAGAAGAGAAAAGTAATTAGCCCTTGGACAATAAAATTACATATTTAAAAAGAAACATTTTCCAGTTAAAATCATATTATGTAAATTTACATATGACAAATATTGTATGGAAGCTCTTTCTTAAGTCAAGTATTAACTCAGTAAAGTAGGCATGGTGACTGGCCACCTGCTTTCCCCTCCTCCATTGCTCTTCTTTTAAAATCTAAATTTTTTTCTGTGCGGTTCTGTTAACTTTCATCTTGTCCTCCAGCTTACCAAAGTTTAAATTGTGCAGTTTGTACTCTACTTTGGATATACCAGTTTTTTTCCAAAAAAAGTTTATTCCAAAAATTTCTAGAACAAAATTGTGTGTGATTCAGAACTATGAGTTTGTAGTTGGGATCAGTGAGGAACCCCAGACTTAGAATTCCTTTTGTAGGTACAAAACAGACGCTACAATTATGAGTCCTCTCACTGGACAACAGCATGACAATAGTTGTGAATGAGCTTCTGGGAGCTGCTCTGTTTAAAGGGATAGCAGCAACCAAGTGCAGCTGGTTGCCTTATTTTGTAAAATGAACTATGAGCTGCACTTAATAAAGTGATCCCATTATCCCCCGTGCAAGAGAGGCTCTGGTACCATTTTGATCTCCTCATAGCAGAGTAATGCCTTAATTAATTATTAAAATTAAGATTCAGTTAAATGCCTGGATTTGTGGACTTTAAATACACAGTGTCCCCTTTACCCATCCCCATTTTTGCTTAAAAATCACAGCTAATTAAAAAATATGTTATTTGGGAAGAATTCAGTTCTTGTGGAATATTCATTGAGGATATTTTGAAAATTATGTTACACTAAAAATACTTGTCTGTGTGACATAAAACCTAAGAGAAAACAAGTTTGGTCAGAGAAAATATGGAAGTATTATTTATTACCTCTTACAGTTGGGAACTGCATCGTATGTATTGAATTTGCCATCCTTTTTTGGTTGTCTTTAAAGTTTAATTTTAAATCTACTGTCTAAATGTGTATGATTATTGGGAAATCATACATGTGGAAGTTTTGGTTTTAGGTTTATATGAGAAAGTGAGGAACCCATCTATCTCTGTTTTTCCTTTTAGGTTAGCGATGCTACTAAGCTGAGGCCAAAGGCCGAGTTCTGTTTTGGTGAGTAGCCATGTTATATGTATTTTAAATTAGACTGGTATAATTGTATCATATTGTAAAAGAAAACTCTTGCAGAAAACCACACAAAACCTATGGCTTACTGAATTATTCTAAAGTGAATTCCCTTATAACCACTATACAGATAAGGAAATAACATTTTTCACCCACTCTCCTCCTAACCCTGAAGCCTCTTTCCTGTTTCCCGTCCTAGTTACTACCACCTTCTTCTACCCGTATGTAACTGTTATTTTGTGATTTATAATGATCACCTCCAGTGAGATTTCAGGTAATTTTAAACTTTCTACCTTATGTTATTTTCTATTAAACATATAAATAATTAAAAGGATTTGGTCTTTAGCTTGTGGGTAGTGAGAAATGTAGTTTGGGGTCAGAGTAGTTGAGAATATTGGATTAACTTACTCAGAAAATGTTTACTGTATGCCAGGCACTGTGCTTGGCACTTGGGGCTGTAAGATAAATAAGAAGTAGTTGCTGCCCTTAAGGCTGGTTGTCTCATAGATAAAAATACCAGACATTTATTATTGCATTTCTCATAACCTGTAGATAAAGGGATATGTGATCTATTAAAGAAGCACAGAAAAAGACCTTCAAATCTTTGTTGGGGAGCTCAGGAGTCAGGGAGCCTCCCTAGAGGAGGAGATGCTTACATTGGTGGCCAGCTAGACTCCTGCTTATCCCTTATCAGTGCAGAGAAAAGGCAGGAGGACTACATGCACAGAGGCTTGTAGAGAGAAGAGCGTGGTGTCTCTGGAGCTGAACACTTTGAAGCTGGAGGGTATGATGAGTGGCTAGAGAGTTAAAAAGGCAGGCAGAAGCCAGGGTGCTGTGTTTTGATGAGTGATAGGTTTTATTACTTTGAAAAAGGGAGAAGAGAAAGAGAGCATCTGGAAAGCAGGCATAAGGTGAAGGAGGTTTGTTTTTTTGTATGGATAGGAAAGTTTTCATGTAGGTAGACTGGGTAAATGGCTTTTGAACTACTTTACTTACGAAAGGTCCTGAGTTAGGGTGGTGGCAATGGAAGAAGGAGGAAGGGTGAAAAGAAGGAAAAGTACAGGGGCTTGGTGGATATGGAAGAATTGGAGGGAAGAGAGTGGTAGCAGGGAAGTTTGCTTAAAGCAATGAGAAGTCAGGGAGAGCTGTTTACATAGCATAAAATGTTTGCTCTGGGGTTGAAATGGTGGGGAACTTCCAAATGGAAATGTTCTGTTGACAGTAATTGAGGACTGGATGGAGCTTGAGGATCAAGAATGGAGATATTTGGAGTCTGTTAAAAAGGGAGTCATAGTCGAAGCTACGGAGAATTGATGTCCTCTCAGAGAGTATGTTAGTGGACGTTAGTGACTGAAGGACCAAATATTTGGAGTGGCCAGCTAACATCACGAGGGATACATTAAAGTGAGAAAGATACTTTTGGGGGTAGAATTGAAGTTCTTTGCCCTCTTGCTTGAAAAGGGCAGGTTTCTTTAGGCACTAGTTGGGAATAGCATCTTAATATGAGCAAGATGAAATGTGGCTGTCAAGGGAATCCTCTGAAATGCTTTTATCCTCCTATGAAGCTATTTTTAAAAGTTACATGTTTATTACTTACTATAATTTTGGTTATGAAACAGGAAGATGCCTCAGAGCCTTGTAAATGAATGGGTATTGCAAGTCAAATAACTGAGGACTTTGTATTTCAGAATGTATAATGTACATACTTTTGACAATCCTTTTTTTTTTTTTTTAAACCTCAAACTTACAGAAATAATAATATACAATAATAGGTTTGACATTCATCATTACTGGGGTATTTAGAATGGGTGAGTTTAGTTGGAATAAAAAATTAAGATGAGTCATTTATAGGTCAGTCAGTAGCTGTTCTCTATTACCAGTGGTAGTAAAGATTCATGGAATGCTTACCTTTAGAAACAGAGGCACTGACTTCTAAAATACCACCCAACTTTCATTCAGAATGCCAACGTATCTTCTCTCAAATTGTCCCAAACCAGTGAGAACAAGAACACTCAAGACATTTTTGATGGAGGGAGCAGACTATTTGTAACCCTCAGTGTGTAAAGTTGAAAAGTAGATAGAGGAATGGTAGAAAGTTGAGCAGAATAGAGGAAGAGGCCAATGAAAAGCTCACCATTTAAGTGTTCTGCCTCCAAGCCAACTCCAGATAGGCTTAAATATAGGAGATTCATTTTCCAGCAAGCAGCAGTAAGGAAGGACCAAAAATAGGGACTTTGTTTGCATATCTATATCAGAAACAACCTCTGTTCCCTACCTCCATCCAGGTTGATCAGGCAGACACCTTTCCCCTGTCCCAGCAGGAAATGGGATGTGTGGTGTCTCCAGAAGTGAAATCAGTGAGGCTATATACTTAGGGGCGCTAGTCCCAGAAAGGGAAAGGAATGAAGCATGAAACTGAAAATAGGAGGATTAAATGAAAGTCTGCACACTGAATGCAACCCCAGCCCCAGAGCACTGGGCAGCCAGGTTTAGGTGAGTAAGATCCGAATACTCTAGAGAAAAGATCCATAGATACTGACTGACATCCAGGCATTTCTGCTAGAAGAGCTTGCCATAGTTGACTAGTGAGGGCGACAGTCAACAGCCCTGCAACAACCCAAGAGAGCTTTTGATCGGTCTTTTTAGCGCTTTCTTTTAAAATATGAATAGACAGCCCAGGATTACTGAACATATGTCAAGATAGATAATGGAATAGAGATAAAAAAAAAAACATCGGGGAAGTCCAACATCTGATAGAGACTGAGGACAGATAGAGTACTGAATAGAGAAAACAGATTGGGGAAAATTGACCAAAAAAAAAAAAAAAAAAGATACCTTAGAATCTCTTGATCCAAAACTGTATATTCATAACCAGCTGATCTCAGGTTGTGAGATAATTTTTGTTTGCAGTTAAGCTAATGTTTATGCTTCAAGTTTTATCCATTTTATGTATTCTTTCTAATCATAAAGATTTGAAATGAAATAAATACTCAAGTGGAAAAGGTAGGAAGGATACAAGCCTCTAGGGATGCATTTATTATTCACAGTGAAATCTATGCTTTAGAAACATGGCAACTTAGCAGTGTCAAAGTTTGTTTCTTTTTTTTTATTGTTCAAAGTTTTTTCTTTCTTTCCCTTTCTCCCCTCCCCAGCAGTATTGCTAATATACCACATTTCAGTAACTTGCTTTACTTTTTTTTTTTTTTTTTTTGAGATGGATCCTCACTCTGTCCCCCAGGCTGGAGTGCAGTGGTACAGTCTCCACTCACTGCAGCCTCCGCCTCGCAGTGATTCTCCTGTCTTAGCCTCCTAAGTAGCTGGGATTACAGGTGCTCACCACCACACCCGGCTAACTTTTGTATTTTGAGTAGAGACAGCGTTTCACCATGTTGGCCAGGCTGGTCTCGAACTCCTGACCTCAAGTGATCTACCCACCTTGGCCTCCCAAAGTGCTGAGACTACAGGTGTGAGCCACCGCGCCCTGCTTTACATTTTTTACAGTGCTTCCCTACTTCTTAGAAATCTCCAGATGATGACAGTGAAGAATATTCTGTATCAAGCACTGTGTTAGTTTCTTTACATATATGATTGTTACCCCTTAAAGAAGTGGAAATGTGGCATTCCCATTTCACAGGTGAGGAATATTGGCCTCAGAGAAATTCAGTAATGTTTGTAAGATAATATTGCTTGTAAGTGCATAAGCTAGTCAGGTTGGACTGATTCCAGGCTGATTTTTTTTTCTATATCATACCTATATAGCTACATCTTGTCATGAAATAGTTCTTAAAGTACATGAGATTTTATTCGGATTGCAAGGTATACTAGGAGTCTTTTTTAGAGACATATTTACATCTCTTCCCTTCCTTAGAAGAGATCCTTATATAAATATGATTTATTCAAACATATGTATTAAGCATTTACTGTGTACCAAGTGTAGTATATTAATAAGTGCATAGATTTTTAAACTCTTCAGATGTTCTGGGCAGATGCCCAAAATAACATTGAAGGGAAGAAGCCATTATGAGGAGAGCTCAGCTTCAGCCTAAGCTGAAAAAAGATTATAAAAGGAAGCCTTACTGATGACTGGAAATTAAAAACAGAAGTTCCTTATTTATATATATAGCGTCCTAGTGAGTTATGGATTTATCTTAATATATATTTATGGCATTTATAACTTCTCCAGTCTATAGAAAGATATACAAGAACAGATTTACATTGTGTTAAATTTCTTTTAAGGTTATAGACTGGTTGTTTTGTAGCGCTTTACAAGATAGGCTTTGACTTCCTTTTAAGACCTTCATCTCAATTCAAGGAAGCTGTAGTTTAGAGTGTCTTGGTCTCAGTTCCAATTTCAAAATCTTGTATGTTTTCCTTAAGAGTTTGCATTTCCCCCTTCTCTTAGTCACATTCAGCTGTATGCTAGTATATCTTCTAAAATTTTGGTGGAGACCTTTGGAAGTTATTTTTATATTTGAACAATTGCAGCCATGTAACTATTCAGATACTTAGCTCCTAGAATATGCTTTTAAAAATAAATGCATATGGTGTATAATAAATAGCTTTAATTCAAGAGTGAACTATGATAGTTTGTAGACAACTGTATGTGCACATGTCCTTTGCTTTATATGAGTACATAGTCCCTAAAGGGTATATATAAACTAAATTGCATAAAAGTTCCAAATGTATTAAGATTTAAAGTATAAATGAAATTCATAAGGTCTAGAAAAATAAATCTTAAGTTAGGGAGATTTTCTAGATGATACGAAATCTGGACGCATTTATAGAAAAGATTCATAGTATATTTCTGTCTGATCAAAAATACTGTTAAAGTAAAAAAAAAAAATGAACAGACTGGGAAAAGTACTGGTAATAAAGCAGAAAAGATTATATAGAAGTTCCTATAAATTAATACTAAATGAACAATTCAGGAGAAATATGGGTAAAGAAAGTAAAACTCACAAAATAAATGCAAATGGCTAATAAACATCTCAGTAACCAAAGAAATGAAAATTTGAACAAGGTACAATTATTTACCAATGAGGTTGTTAAAGAGTATTAGGAAAACACCACACTAGGTATTTCAAACCCAAGGGATTTGTTAGAAGGAATTGGTTACCCAAATGTTGGAAGGCTGAAAGAACATGAAGGGAATGCTGAAGTAACCCAGAAATTAGGAACTGCATGAAGCAACTACTGTTCAAGGTCTAGAGAGACAACAGGGGAGAAATAGTAGTATTACTATAACCGAGGGCACTGGAGGAGAAGCCACCATGGAGCTATTGGTATCCAAGGGGACCCTGCAAGGCTGGTGTAGGGGAACAGGAAAAGGCCTCCAACAGTAGCTGGTTGTGTGCTGCTGTTGGAGAGAGGTCAACAATGGCAGGAATCAAGGAGAGTCTCCTCTTTCTTTCCCTGCCATCTTACAGTCTCTCATCAGATTGGCAGAGAATGGCCTCAGCTGGGGTTTAGGAAATATCATTTGCAGATTGTCAGCCCCAATGCCACAGAGCCTTTGAAAACTAGAAACTAGAGGTATCCACAGGGGCTGATAACCAGTTCTGGGGAGGGGTTTTAGATGAAATAAACCTTAGCGTATGTGGTTGGTAGGAATGTGAATGGATTCAACTTTCTGGAAAGATGATTTGGAAATACCTATAAAAATTTTAAATGTCAGTTTTCTTTGATTCAACAGATCTATGTCAGGAAATTTGTTCCCCAGAAATGCTAGCCAAGTGTGGCGAGATATATGTATATGGTGTTTCACTGTGTTATTTTATATAATTTCAAAAACTGGAACTTGCCTAAGAGTCTATCATTAGGGGAGTGACTGAATATATTGTGGTGTATTCATTTAATGAAAAACATGGCCATGACAAAATAAGAGTTTTAGCTGTGTTATTGTGTGATGAAAGCAGTGTTATATGTGGTCTGATATATTTTGTCAAATCCACAGGAGTCATGGTGTTGAACCTAGCAAGGTTTTTCAGCTTCTGCAGAAATAAATTTAGAGGTAATAAGTACAATATTTGGTGAGCTATTTTTTTCCGTCAACAGTTATGAATGCAGGAATGAGGAAGTACTTCCTACAAGCCAATGATCAGCAGGACCTAGTGGAATGGGTAAATGTGTTAAACAAAGCTATAAAAATTACAGTAAGTATATTTATTTTTTTGAAAAATAAATATAAAACATTTATAAAAAAATGTTCAATGTCTGGAATTATTCTTTTCATTTTGAAAATACACCTACCAAATGTTCCCAGCTTACCAATAGGTTTCATACGCAAACTTTGTTTAAAAGGCAGGGGTTCAGAATGTGAATATGTTTTCTTGTACCTGGTGACTGTTGGCCCTTTAATCAGCCCATGGTTGCCTTTTTAACCTATTATGTACCTAATAAGGAGATAAATTACTGTAGATCTTAATCACTGCTTACAACGTTTCTAGGAGAAAATGCACTTAGCACGTAGAGTTCTACCGGGAGGATATATTTTTATCTTCTAGTATAGTGTAAGAGATTTCCTGCCACCTACCTGGGGAATAGGCACTTCTGTCTTCTAAGCCATGACTGGGATTGGGGTCAGATAGGGAAGGAGTTGAAGACAGGAGCAGGACAAGGGGAGATGAAGGCTGAAAAATGAGGGACAGGGATAGGGATTGGGTTTGAAGGGTTGTGGCAGCCAGAGGGTCCTGCCCATGTGACCCTTGAAAAGTTTGTCTTAGGCTCTAAACTTCCCACATCTGATTTTTTTTCCTTGCGTTGCAGGTCTTGGTACCCTTGCTCTCCTTTCCCATGCTACAATTTCTTGCTTCTAACGTGTGCTTCTCTTTGTTTTTGGTTTTCTGATGAATATTTATTGATTACACTGTGCCAGATCTGGTTTTACCTAAATTAACTGGAAAAGTGAGGCTTAGAAAGATTAATGGCTTTTTACAGGTTTTATAGCTGGTAGACTATGGAGCTGGAAGCCCAGTCCAGTTTGTTGGGCTCTTGAGCCCGAACTCTAAAGAGCAGTGCCTTACTGCTTCCTGAAAAAGCAGCCCTCTCTTTACTCTTGTTCCTAAAGCCAAAAACCTTTACGGAGAGTTTGCTAGTGATAATGAGCTGCAAGTAGATAGGCTCTAATTTGATTGTACCTTGCCTCACCTTTCCCTGTACACTTTCGTAGAGAAATACATCATAGGCCTGCCTGGAAAATGTTGGGAAGGAGTTCTTGTGAGATTTGTGTCGATTGTGGTGTTTTCTTTTTGCTTTGTTTTTAATACAGTGCAGTTATTTACTGACCCTAAATGACATATTCTCAAAGAACATGTGCCCTGAAAGTCAGCATATGTTAGTCACTCGTTAGTTTTCATCTAAAATGAATAATTTTGTATTTATATCACAACACAAGAAAGAGTCAATATAGTTAAAGCTGTTCTCAGAGTTAAGTCAAATTTTTTTGTTTTGTACTAGAACAGCTTGTTACCACATGACAGAAAACGCCTACGCTCTGCATCTGATCTGTACATGAAGCAGAAGTTATTTTAGGTTTGTGCAGTTTCAGGAAAGCAATTTTTTGAACTGATTCAGACATATGTGTTTTTAAAAGTTTTTAGCTAATCATTTTAACTCTTTTAATAAATATTTCCCGCTTGAAAAAATTCTTCAGAAAGATAATATCTCATAACTTTACTAAATTAATTCTTTTTCTTACAATTTACAATAACAAGCAGCACACTGGTTTCTTAGTGCTTTACAAGAAAAAGTAGTGAATGGTCTCAGGCTTTTGACCGTTTTGCCGGGTCTTGAATTGCTATGTCTAAGTTACCATCGGTGTGAAACAGTCTTGTACAAATGATACTTAAGCTTTTTAGCATGATGGAGAAACAAATAGAATTCTAAAAAGACTTCTAGGCTGGGCGCGGTGGCTCAAGCCTGTAATCCCAGCACTGTGGGAGGCCGAGGCGGGTGGATCACGAGGTCAAGAGATCGAGACCATCCTGGCCAACATGGTGAAACCCCGTCTCTACTAAAAATACAAAAAATTAGCTGGGCATGGTGGCACGTGCCTGTAATCTCAGCTACTCAGGAGGCTGGGGCAGAGGAATTGCCTGAACCCGGGAGGCCGAGGTTGCGGTGAGCCGAGATCGCGCCATTGCACTCCAGCCTGGGTAACAAGAGCGAAACTCCGTCTAAAAAAAAAAAAAAGACTTCTGAATAGCTTTTGTGGTCTTGCAGCTTAGTTTTACATGTTGAAATTTTTATAGGTTTTAAGATAAATTTGTTGGTAAATGATTTTAATGTTTTTATAATTCACATTTGGAAAATATAAACACATAAGATCTAGAAATCCTTATTAATGTAGTGACTAATTATAACTACATTAAAGTGAATATAGAATTCATAGCACTTATTTAAAATAAACTTTAGATAGATACATATTTAACTCATAGGATAGCAGTGAAAGAATTTCCCATGCTTTAATAAGATATGCTTTATGTTAATTTTATTCCTTTATATCTTACCAGTTCTATGTGCATTTTATACATTTAAGTGTATTAAAGTGTGGAATCTCTAATTTGTTATATTTTCCTATGGAAATTACTGGTGATTTACATGTAGATTGTTTGAAAACTTAAAGTGTGTGTTTTGATATATGTGCACTTTATCTTTCTATGGAATCACCTCATTTTGGTCAACTATGTAATTTAGTTGTCTGCTGAGTACAGTGTGATGTATAAATTTAAAAATTTTCAAAATCCAAAATTAGAGTATGTGGTTTCAAAATAGAGGTGGTTAGAGGGCAATGGGCAAGAGAATGATATTTAAACTATTTCCTAGTTATATCATCTTGCCAATTTTATCCATTATCCTCCAACACTATAGTCTGTGACTTTCCTTACTTAAGTCTAGGTGGGTGCCACTTGAAATCCTTTTCCCTTTACAGTTGCTTTTCAACTAATGATGGGGTTACATCCTGATAAACCCATTGTAAGTGAAAAACACAAGTTGAAAATCCATTTAGTACCCCAGCAAACCCACAGTAAAGTTGAAAAGTTGTAAGTAAGTCTTGGACCATCCGTAGTACACATGCGCAAGAAGGAAAAGAGCAACAGTGGGAGAATCAACCCTGAAGGGGGAGTGTCAGTGACTGGAGTGAGGAGCATTTTAAAGTATGCTTTCCACTGTTCATTTATAGTAATAACAACCTAAGTATGGTGGTTTCTGTTCCCTTATTGATTTTTAAGGAATGTCTAAGATGTAGGTTTATTCCTGAACAGAGATCCATTGTTTTTAAACAAACGTCTTTTTTTAAATTTAAAAATAAATATTCAATTTGAATCTAAAAATTAGTTCTTTGAATTTGTGGCAGAAACTCCACAAGTTTAATTTATTTTTAATGGAAACGGGAAGCAAGTAGATGTAGAGTTCTCAGAAAGATTGTAAGACCCAGAACATTGTGTCTGCGAGTTTTTATTCTCGGTGAATGGAACATTATCACAATGTCTTTTTTTTCTTTTCCCTCTCCTCCCCTTCCCCTCCCCTTCCCCTTCCCTTCCCCTCCCCTTCCCCTTCCCT